CACTCACCCCCTACCCCCCCTACTCCCCTACCCCTTTTTCCCTTTAACACCCCCTCCCCTTTTCACTCCCCAGTCTGTACATGATAATGCTCGCAGTGTATGACATGACCTTCCTCCTGCTCAACACGACGTTCGTCAGCGCAGAATACTTCTATTTCGGACTCACGGGTGAGAGAGTTTCTATTTAGGCCTACCAAAGCATGGAGGGAGAGATGGTGCTGAGAGTTGAATGACTCGTTGTTTAATTAGGCCTGGCATACTTAATTGGCGGTTCATGCTACGCTTTCTACACTGTTCTCATGCATTATTCTTAAGTTCTACTAACGCCGTTGTGTTATCATTATTTCCAGTTGCAACTGTATTTTCTGTTGTTCTTTTTGTTGTTACTGTTGTTATAATTGTTCTTGTTGTAGTTAATTTTGTTGTTGCTGTAATTGATAACGTTGTTCTTGCTGTTTTAGCTGCTGCTGATGTTGTTGTTGCTGTGGTTATTGTTGTTGTCTGTCTCCATTGCGCATCGACCTTTGACATTATCGAACAGTATCAATGGTGACCGATTGTTCTTTTCTTTTCTTTTTCTTTTTTTTTTTCTTTTTTTTTATTTGGTGTCCTTATTTCTGTTGTTTCTGCTGTTATAAGCCTATTTATTGTAGCCTAGTATTTTTTTTAGAGGCCGTAAAGTACTTTATATACAGCCCCGGGTATTTTAAACGGGAGCCATTTAAGGGACAGTAACTACGTCATCTTTGCACGAATTTTAAATCAAACATGTTAATACTTGGCAAATCAATCCACGTTCTTGGAGAATATCAAGTTTTAAAAATTGTCTATGAAAATTGACTATAACTCCAAAATGTAACTTCTTACATGCGTTCAGCGACAGGGACCAGACCGGCCCGTTTTGGATTCAGGACAATGTTAAAAATTCGAACGTTGCATTATATAGATTAATATCTCATCGGGCTGAGAAAGTTTTGGAAAGGTTATTGGTGAGGAGAATCGATTAGGAGGCCTATGCTATTGATGAGGCCTGGCTCCAGCAGGAACATCAACAGTAGCCCGTGCATGGTTAGAAGATAAATTTGGCGAAGACGTCTCCGGCGAGCACCCAGGAACTATTCGGAGACGTCTTCGGCGAGCACCCAGGAACTATTCGGAGACGCACTCCCGCACACAGATGCACT